CTGTGGTTCGAGTCCCAGACCCGGTGGCTTAAACTCACACTGGGTGTGTGTGCGTGCGTGCCCAAGATCCTGAGAGGAGAATGGAGGAGAAGGGATTGTAATGTGGCCACCCCCCCAGGGGATGATTTCTCACTTTCTGTCTCTCTGTCTGTCTCTTTCCGGTGAGCACATGTGCCCTATAGCAAGAAAAACCAAAAACAAACAAAAAAAACAAAACAACAACAAAAAACTCTCAAAAAATTTCTTTAAAATAAAAAAGAAAAGATAGCGAGAAAACAAGCTGCCAGGTCTGGGAGTTAGAACCCTGGTCGGCCATGTGGTAGTCTAACACACTTAACCACCAGGCCACCCGCTGGCCCCAAGGTGAGAGGTTTTGAATGGAAGAATTAGAGCACTTTGGGGAGAGGAGTGAACCCAGGGCTTTTATTATGGAATGGGGGAAACAACATTTGTCCAGCACAGAAGGGAACGAAGTGACACCTCTGGGTTCTGTTTTCGGAAACTTTCTCCTCTTGATGGAAAGGTAAGAGGAAACTCTAAGGGCTGCCCTCCTTTCCTGTGCCCTCCAGAAGCCCAGAGATTCCACTTATGAACCCTTGTGCCTTTCATAGTTCCATGTCCAACGTTAAAGCGCTTCAGTGCTCTACTACAGAGCTGTTCTCAGGCCTCCAGGACTGGGCTTTACAGAATCATAGGCATGCCACCCTGTCACTGGTTCTTCAACCCTTACTCCACCCCTCTACACCAAACCCCTCTCCTTTCAGAAGCAGATTTCTTTTTTTTTTGCTCCTACTCCTCCCCCACTTCATTACTTCTCCCAGTTCCCCAAATGCACCAGGTTCGCAGTTTGACTCCGTCCGCATTTATTATAGAAAACAGAGAGTAGGTTGGGAGGGGGTTCTAGGCCTGGCCAGTGGGTGTCCTATGGGCCACCTGAGGTTGGAAGATAAAGGTCCGGACACCTCACTGGGCAGTAGCAGGCTGTGCTTGCAGGTCCACAAAATAGTTAAAGAACTTGGGCAGATCCGCTCTAACTTCATTGACCAGGGGTGTCAACCGCTCCTGAATCTTCTCAAAGTAAGCCCTGGGGAAGTGAGGGATTGATTACAAGTCAGTGTGAGGGACCGGGGCGCTAGGGAGACTTGGTGGTAGACGGTCAGAGCAGACTGACCCAGATCCCCAAATCTAGTCCACCCTGGCATGGCTAAGCCCTTAGAAGGAGAGGCAAGCCCTCCACTGGGCAGAGGAACAGGCACTAGAGATGGACATTCAAGACCCTGTCCTCATTGCTTTGTTTCTCCAAGAGGCCAGTGGAACCCTGGGTGATGAACGGATGTTTCTCTTCAATTTAAGCCTATCCCTCCCTAACCCCAGCCCTAAACTCAGTCTTCTGTGGGCTCCCCATCTTCCCTCCTTTCTCCCCAGGGGCCCACAGCCCTTCCCTGAGACTTACTTGGCCTGGACTAGAAGCTCCTGGCCCTTGGCCTTGTTCACCAACTCCTTGCCATAGTCAGTCAGAGTCTGGACGTACTGAGAGACCAGGCCCTCCAGGTTCGGCTCCTCCGCCTGTCTCCGAACCAAAGCCCCTGCACACACACACACACACACACACACATTTCTTAGCCGTATCCACAGCAATGAATTTGGCCTCCTGGGTACTTTCACCAGACCCACCCCAGCTCTCAGTTCCCCCCTCCCAAGTAGGAATTCAGCCAAGTCTTTGGGTAGCTTTCTGGGTGTCAGGGAGGAAAAGGTCTCCATTTTGAACCCTCTGGTTGCCTGGCCTGAGATAGGAGCACACACACCCTAGGACCCCAGCACGCTCTTCTCATTGGGCCCCTCTCCATATCACACTCACCTTCAAGGGTACAGATAGTAAAGAGCAGCGTAGCCATCGCTAGCAGCTTCATGGTAGCAACAGTGGGAAAGATGGCCAGGGAACAGAGCTGTGGGGGAAGGGGACACTGGAGCCAGACAGGCTTCAGCCCCTCCCCAGGGGGCTCCACACCTCAGTGCCCACTCCACCTGGGTCCCTCTCTCCCACTATAAAGGCCCAGTACGACTGGATTCTGCCCATACCTCTCACTCACTTACCCTCCCTAGTCAGTGTCTCCGTCCTTGGTGTCTGGGCCTGGCCTGGTAGCAGAACACGGGTTAAGAGAATGAGGTCAGGGTCAGAGGGCAGGCCTATATACCTGTCTGCTTCCCCACTTCCTGTCAGGCGACAGGGACTGTGGAGGGGCCCAGCCAGGTCTTTGGGACAGCGACCATGTTGAAGTAAACAAGTCGGAGAAATGGGGGAGAGGAGGGTCACAATGATGGGGCGAGAGGCAGGCATGGCAAGCCTCAGTGGAGGTGGGGTGGGGGGTGGGGGTGGGGGGTATAATACTTCTGGTCATTTTGAGATTCATTCTTTTGGAGTCTGGAACAGGAAGAAGCAGAGTTCCCAAGTATTTCTTTGGAAAGCTCTGACATACCAAGCCCTTGATATCTTTTTTTAAAAAACTATTTTATTTTATTTGTGATCATTATTTTTAAATTTGACCAGAGAGAGAGAGAGAGAGATTGAGAAAGTAAACTATCAGGTCTGGGACTCGAACCACCATCAATCACTTGGGAGTCCAGCACCTTACCCACCAGCCCCAGCCTTTGACATCTTTATCCCGTTATGGATTCTGAGTAGATCTGATCTTCCCAACCCTACCTTCCTTCACTACAACTTAGCAGGGAGTTACCGGGGAATAGAAGGAAGTTGAAATCAGGGACAAGGGGAACAGGGGTTAGGGGAATGAGGTCTGGGTCAGAGGGCAGGCAGGTGTGATTACTTCTGTCTCTTTGAGAGTTAATGTGTAATGAGAGAGGGCAAACAAGAGAGCTCTCCTGGGTTAATCCAGGAGCATACCCTGCCCCCAATAAAATAAATCCAAAAAACAGCCTTTGTCCTCCGGGGTCTAGCCGGAGGGCTCCCGTAAGAGAAAAGGTGAGCAGGCTTCTGCCGGGATAAAGGTTGACAGAGCCTGGTCATTTGACCACCTTATCAGTTCTAGGTAGAGGTCAGCTAATACTGAGTCAGCAGGGGTGAGGTGATGGCGTCCCTCTGGCCAAGGTCCTGGCCTTGTCCCTGCTCTGACTGTGAGGGAGGGTAGACTACATCCCCCAGCCCAAAGCACTTGGTGGGCGAAATCAGCTAAATGGCTGTCACAGCCCGTTGGTTCCAAAGCTTATCCCCAGTGTACTGGGACATTTCTGAGAGATGGCAGTGGAGGTGTGAGAGCCAGAGACCAGAGACCAAGAAATCTTACTCCATCTTCACTTAATCCCCCTTGGAGGCTTAGGGCTGGAAGGTCACGCCAGTGGCTAGCCCCTGAGCCTAGGGTGGAGAGCATTTGGGGGCAGATATTTACATTCCTAGAATTTCTTTACCAGCTCTTCCTGGGGACTGGGGGAAGGAGGGCTTAACTACAAAGGATAGCCGTTTCAGAGAACAGCCTGCTGGCGCCGGCTCCTCTACGCCAAGATCTCACCCATTTGCGTTCCACCAAGAGGGCAAGAGGGCAGGAGGGCGCACTTGGAGAGGTCGGTGTCCCAGGGAGAGCTGGGGTTTGTGACTGCTATCCATTTGGGGTACTGTAGAAGGCTGTGAGAAGGATTCCCAGGGACTTTACGGGGAGTAGGGAGGCAATAAGAACCCTCAGGGTTCGAACCACCCGCAGGGTGGTCCCCTCCACTACCCTTCATAAAAACGCAAGTCTCCAGGCTGTAGTTTCACTTTTCTCATGGGTGGTGGAAGCGGCTTCGGTGGCACAAGCTACAGATGCTCCCCCTAGTGTCATGTTTCGCGTCAAGGGTTTTTCCCGACCTTGGAGACTCCTGCCGACCTAAGGCCTTCTACTTAAGTCTGCGAAACCACCAATCAAGTCCCGCCCGCCTCTGCAGCGCAGGGTTGAAGCTCTCGGGCCGTCAGGGCTGCCACTCCTTTGCTTCCTCCTCTCCCATTGGCCCCTGGAAGATTGAGGTGACTTTCATTTCATCGATTAGGCGGAGCCCAATCAGGGGAGGGATGGATCTTTACCATCTTTCTCTGCCCGGTTCCAAGATGGCGCCCACGACCACGCTGGGAACCCAGCGTGAAGCCGCAGTTCTGCCATCACTCAAGATGGCTGCCCCCATCAAGATGACCGGGGTGTGCCGGGGAAAAAGGGGCAGCAGGATGGTCTGAGATGGTAAGGGCTACTGCTCCGTGGCAGGCCTGGCCTTGGGGCCCGGGAGTGATGAGTAGATTGAGTAGGAAGCTAGGTGAGGTCTGCGATGGGGACTAGGATTAGATAGTGGTAGAGAGGACAGGGGTGACAGGTGGGGCTGAGGGATCAAAGATGGGGCGGGAATGTGCCTGGGGTTCAGTCTCCCCATCGGTGCTCTCTGTCTTCATTCTTTTTGTTCCAGGTCTATCGTCGGACCATGTGGAAGTTTCTGGGACGGGGGAGCCAGATGATGGGGGGTGGGGCTTGCTGGGGGGTAGAGGGAGCAATACTTCCATTTCTAGGCTAACCCTGGCCCCTTCCCGTTTTCTGGACTAAAATGGGGAACACATTGGGCCTGGCACCAATGGGGACTTTACCCCGTCGGAGTCCCCGCCGAGAAGAGCCTCTGCCCAACCCTGGGAGCTTCGATGAGCTGCACCGACTGTGCAAAGGTGAGAACTTGACATAAGGGAGTCTCAAGTTATGAAGGGGGGAGGAAGGGGTCTCCACAGCTGGATGTCCAGTGATGGGAGCAGGAAAGAGGAGGGTCTGAGCTGGGGCGTCCAGGGTCCGGTGCCCAAATGAAACAGAGCATTTCAGTTGCAGGTCTGAAAAGGAGGTCAGTTCTTCCAAAGTGCTTCCCATGGGATTGGAAGGGGAGCCTACCTCTTGGGGTAGGGTTTCCTGGTCTGCTCTTATTCCTTCCCTTCCCCCACTCCCTCCCCTCCAGATGTATTCCCAGCACAAATGGAGGGAGTGAAGCTCGTGGTCAACAAGGTTCTGAGCAGCCATTTCCAGGTGCTCCCACTTCTCTGGCCCCTCCCTACCGTTCCCTGTCTGTCCCCAGTCCTCTGCTTTCCTTTGTACTCCAGCCTTAGCCAGGCTATGCGGGACAAACGAGGGAGGCTGCGGGGCTTTCTTTACCTCCCTTGCTTGCGGGGCTTGTGCTTCTCATTTGGTGACCCTGTACATTTTGGAATAGTTGGGATTCTTAAGAAGTCCTCGGGATGGGGAGAAGATGAGGACGGGATGAGGGGTTGAAGTGGGGCAGGAATGCTGTCCCCTCCACTGACTCCTCTATCCTCAGGTGGCTCACACTGTGCACATGAGTGCTCTGGGCTTGCCCGGCTATCACCTCCATGCGGCCTATGCGGGAGACTGGCAGCTGAGCCCCACCGAGGTGAGGGTAGCATACACCTGGGTCAAAGCCCCACCTGGGACCTAGGACTAAAGGGGAGGGGATGTATATGCTATATAGAAGAATGGGCTATAACCTGGTTCTCTGTGTCTCTTCTGAATGAGAGAGGGTAGAGAAACAGTTGTGTGTAAAGAGCCCAGAGTCTGCCTTTGTGCTTCCACCAGGGGGCGCTGGGTGCTGTTAATAACATCCACATATTTGGGTTGGGGCTGAGTGGTGCCGCCCAGCTGAGCCTGACCCTTATTGTGCACACTCTCCGACAGGTATTCCCCACTGTGGTGGGGGACATGGACAGCAGTGGCAGCCTCAACGCCCAAGTCCTGCTCCTCTTGGCAGAGCGGCTGCGAGCTAAGGCTGTCTTCCAGGTGACCCGCAGTTTCCGCCTCCATCCACTGAGGCACTTCCTCAGTCTCCTCCATGAGGGTGCTGCCCCAGCCCCGGGGGAAAGGGACAGAGGCAACAGTGACAGAAAGAGGGAGGGAGATTTTATTGCTTGCTCTCCCCACCCAGACTCAGCAGGCCAAGTTCCTGACCTGGCAGTTTGATGGCGAGTATCGGGGAGACGACTACACAGCCACGCTGACCCTGGGAAATCCTGACCTGATTGGAGAGTCAGGTGAGGAATCGGGATTGACCAATGCCTTTTCGTCCTCTGTCCAGTTCTGAGATTGGAAGAGGGACTTCCTGGGAAGGGTGGGGGTCGGGGGCGGAGCAGGCCTGGAGGTCGTCTCTGTGACTAATGCCCTGTCTCCCCTTTCCCCCACAGTGATCATGGTTGCTCACTTCCTGCAGAGCCTCACTCAGCGGCTGGTGCTGGGAGGAGAGCTAGTTTATCACCGGCGGCCAGGAGAAGAGGGGGCCATCTTGACACTGGCTGGGAAGTACTCAGGTATGGGCCCCAGCTGAGGAGCGATGGGAGGGGCAGTTCTGGCCCTCGCTGAGGTTCTCAGCTTGTGTCCTGCTCCAGTAACGCTCTTTTCCCCTTCCCTCGGTTTCTACAGCTTTACACTGGGTAGCTACATTGAATGTGGGATCAGGCGGGGCCCACGCAAGTTATTACCACAGGGCAAATGAACAGGTGAGACTGCTGATCTCAGCTTTCCTCTGGCAAGTCAGCCATGAAGTTTTGCCCCTCCAGATCTCCACGGGCCCTTCCTACCACACTCCCTATGCATGTTCACGCCTTCCTCCTGCAGATCTCTAGTCAGGGCCCCTCTAGTCTTCCCTGAGACCGCTCTCTCTCTCTCGTCCTCTCCCACTGTTCCCAGGTTCAGGTTGGAGTGGAGTTCGAGGCGAACACAAGACTACAAGACACAACCTTCTCCTTTGGTTACCACCTGACTCTGCCCCAGGCTAACATGGTGTTTAGAGGTGAGGGTCATGGCCGCTGCGTTCGGGTCTGCCGAGGAACTGGGAGGTACAGAGGAGGGGTGCTCCACCTTACTTCTGCCGATTCCCTCCTCTGAGCCCTGTTAAGCATCCTCGTCTATGTGCTCTTCCCAAACAGGCTTGGTGGACAGTAACTGGTGTGTGGGTGCTGTGCTGGAGAAGAAGATGCCCCCCCTGCCCGTCACCCTTGCCCTCGGAGCCTTCCTCAATCATTGGCGAAACCGATTCCATTGTGGCTTCAGCATCACTGTGGGCTGAGGTGGTCCCAGAGCAGCCCCCACAGCAGCTGGAACCTCTGAGTCAGGTGTCCGAGGGCCAGAGACTAGGCCCCTCTCCAGAGCCCACCTTGCTGGGTGACCTCTAGGTCCCAGGAGCAGAGTGGGGGTAAGAGCATGCCCTTCTCAGAACTGGAGCTGCCACAGGGGCAGTGGTTTGGGGCTCCCACCTCTGCCACCAGCCCCACTTTCATCTTCTCCATGCTCTTGTGGCTCTGGACTAAGGAAGAAAGATTAAGGGAACGTCTGGCTGAATCCTCCCCCACCCTTCCTTCCTTCCTTCCTTCCCTTTGGGTATTACTCCTAGCCCCTTCTTCCAAGCAGAAAAGTCTGCATGGGATTAGCTCCCCTTCCTGTGTTCCCTCCCGGGGCCTCCCAAGGCTGGGGTGCAGGGCTGAAGGGCTAAATGTCTGGCCTCAGAAAGTGGGGCCTACCCATTCCCAGAAGGAGCTTCTTTACCTCGTCACCCTGAGGCTTCCTCCGTCCCCACCTTCTGTGCTTCCAGAGAACAGCTTGGCCCCATGGCCATCCCCCAGCACCCCCTTGACCGCATGAAGAGGCAGTAATTGCTTTAGTCTTTCATTACAACCACCGGGCCCCCTTCCTGCTGGCCCCAACCTCGTCGAGTGTTCTTCCCCTTCCCAGTCCAGTGAGTCCCAGGGGGCTGGGGAAGGAGGCGAGCCGGCCTCAGCTGCAGATCTCCCAGAGCAGGGGCATCATGGCAGACAGCCCCTGGATGCGCTGGATTTGGTACCCGTATGCGTTGTTGATGCTTCGGAGCTCAGCCAACAGGCCCAGCAGCTTTGCGTACAGAAACCTTCAGAGGAAGCGA